TTTGCACTAAATCATATATTTTCAAAAGTAACAGTTTTGATTCAATCGGTACATAGATGTATATGTATCAAGTAGTAACACTCTAGAAAAACAAAAATTCATTTAATGTAAAAAATGACGTAGAAAATAAGTCGAGGAACCGATTACAAGACATTTAATATAACGAGTATATAACGTTTTTTGAATGACATAACGAATATATATTCGTTATTTAGAAAAAAAAAAAAACATAAAATTTTAGTCGCTAATTAGTCATGAATGACACAAGCTAATGAGAAAACACTATTATTGCACTTCATTTCATAGAATGACACATTTCATCTCATAAAATCATCATACATGACTACTTCAATTTCTACCTATATGTTTTAACTTACATTATTTTTCATCCAAATCACGCGTTAACGATCCACGTGACATGGTAGACACGGGAAATATAAAATCACGATTCTTTAAATAGTACCTGATTTAGCACATACTCATCATGTTCAACCTAGACAAACATCAACAGCAACTTCAATGGCATTAGTATAATAATGAATTCCAGTCATAATCCAAGCAGGTCTTGATAATGGACTTCACCCACATTGCAAAGAGAGTTTAAGAATTTGCAAAATTAGTTTCACATTACTGTAGTGACAAATTTTGTAAATTAGTTTCACATGTCTGTGTATGGGGTAAAATGCATGTGTCTAGTGAGAAAGTTGTCATGGGTTTTAGTTCTTAGGCTGTTAAGATTTTTTATGCATCTATGCCTTCAGGTGGTTTTCTCTTTTCCATTGAGTTGGTTTCTCTTATTTAGTCTTGGCTTTCAAGGTCTTCTGTATTTAAGAGTTACTTTTCTTATTTTCTTGGCTTTGTAGATGCAAAGTGGTCAAATTCGTAATGATTTGATGGCTAACGTAACTGTTGGGTATCTCACGTCAAAAGTCATGTGTCTTGTGAAGACCCTTCTTGATTACAAGTATGCTGATAAGCCGATTAATAATGCTACACAAGATAAGCTGTTTGAATATAATTTTACAAACAATTTTCAACACGTTTAGAAATACACTGCGGGGAACAATTCGAAAATTCAATCTCAGAGTAGAAAAGAACAAAATGCAATTGTTGATGAATTCCGCAAAGGAACGGTGAGATGTTTGTTTTTGGTATTATATCTGTTTGACATGGCAATTTCATTTTGTGATTGGGCGTGTTGACTTTTAGCTTTGTTTGCCTCAAACATGATGTTTTTGCAGGTCAAAGGTTTAAATGTCCAAAGCTGCAACCTCGTAATTAGATTTGATCCTTCCGCTACCATATGCAGCTTTATTCAATCGCGTGGACGTGCTCGAATGCCAAACTCATATTTTGTTCTAATGGTGAAACGGTGAGCTTGATTGATTTCTTTTGTAAGTAGCATTTGGGGGATAATTCCAAAAGAACCACGACTTTTGGGCTAAATATCCATTTGTACTCGGTATTAAGTGCATCTCCAACCCTGCGCTAAATTGATAGATTACGCTGGAGTTGTGTAAATTTTATTCTCCAACCATGCGCTATTTTTGTGCGCTAAAATACAGATTTCTACAGTATTAACCAAGATATATATGATGTTACGCATGGTAAAGTGAAATAATCTATCTTCAGAACGGATGGATTGACTAATTAGATATCCAATTGACTTAGGGTATGTTTGGTAAAAGCTTATAGCTTATTTGGTTAACTTATAAGCTTCTTGTATTTAAATAGCCCCGTTTGGTAGGACGAGCTTATTTAAAAAGTTCGAGCTTATTTGATAAGCTTGTTTAGGTAGCTTTTCAAATAAGCTAGTTGAATTTTTTATTCCAGCTAGCTTATCAGCTTATTTTACCAAATACTTTTATCATATAAGCTAGCTTTTCAGCTATAAGTCATAAGCTATAAGCTATAAGCTCAAAAATTACATATAAGCTATAAGCTAGCTTATCAGCTAGTTTTACCAAACATACCCTTAATTTATCACTTCTCTCCTTTTAGAATTTCAAAAGGCTTTTCCCCATCAAATTCCAATTTGCAGAAAAAATAAGACCATTTAATTTATCACATAAAAATTAAAATTCATTTTTGAAATGAAGATGTAGTTAAAATACAATTCGGACTTTATGTAATTAAAATTAATTATACATAATAAAATCGGAGAAATAAATATTCATTAAAAATTAAAATTTCACCACACAAATAAAATTAAAACTATGTACCGATTGAATCAATACTGTTACTTTTGAAAATATATGATTTAGTGTAGATTTACACTCTAGACCATATATGGTCTAGCGCATATATTCACATTTTAAAAACTGATACTTTTTTTTTCATTGTATT